AAGTAAAACGATTAAGTGACAGTACGTACTTTATATTGTCTACAGCAAGCTTGATAGTCAACATTAAACAGGGTTTTTGAGTACTCTCACTCGTTTTTACAACAAAAATATTGTCAAATGTACAGTTTACAATACAGTTTACAATAATAAAACATGATGATATTTTGTTAAATGACATAAAGTTTTTTTGGTTATGACTATGTGTGTTGTCAGCATTAAGACGATGTTTAAATAGTAATTCAGCATAGTTCATACATTCACTGAGCGAAATAACCATGATGCAGTAATTTTGTTATACAAGACTGTTTCAAAATAACTTTGCATGTTTAAGGCTACACATCGGAGTGTCTTCATTATCCAGCAGTGTTATATTTGATAGTTCGCACTTTCATTATTTGGTTTTGTAAAGTTTGAAGGTTGTTCGTATAACATGTTGTCATGATTGTGGTACAATGAATTTAAGTCATGCGCTATTGCATATATTACCATGGTCATGTGGTTTATAGACCTATACACTAGCAGAGCTGTCATAATTAAGGTCGATTATGGTAAAAAGTATAAATTTATTAAAAAAAAAAAAGAAACGTAACAGGAGAATGTCTTATCTGAATAAGCTATTGTTAAGATAAAAATATTCAGTGTTCAAAACTATTGAAACCGTTCGATTGAGAAGTAATTACTTTTCACTGGTTAGCTTCCGAGAAGCTAAATTTCGTAGAGTAGCTCGCTTGGATTTAGTCGCAGTTGTTTTTTTTGATTCGGTGGGTGCAAGCTGGATGTCGTCCGATGCGTCTTCACTTGGATTGATTTCTTCAATTTGCATGAAGCTGCTTGACTCAGTTTCCGACGTTGAGGTGGTGGAGGAATTGGTGAGTTTTGGTTTTTTGGCGGGGGGTGACTGCTCTGCAATGCTTCGGACAATAGTAGCCCGGCGAGACGACGGTGGTGAGACTGTAGTGCTGGTGTTGGTGTTGTTGGAGGTACTTTTCGGAGTAACAAACGTTGCATGTTGCAACTCACAATATATAATATCGTTATACAGTTCTACAGCGCCTTCGATTTTTACTCGGAAGCCGACGTTATAGATTTTTGTGCGATTGAATAAATGTTTCATTTTTGTTGAATGAAAGGTTGTTACCGTAAAGGGTTGGTATGTAGCCCCCGCATTAGTCTTTACATACTGAGAAAGACTTATATCAAATGAAACAGTCTCTTCTGTTATGTTCGGTTTACTAACAACCGTACCGACTGCTGTTACGTAAGTAAAATCTTGAGGTATAGATGATGGAGCCAGCGAAATTTTTCTAGAGTGAGAGCAGGTGACATTAATAGTTTGCGTTGACGAATCCACCTTTGTGACAGTCCCGTAGAAGTAGACGACATCCTCGGGAGCCAACGAAGTAACATAACACGGATCTTCGACATCGATTGGGATAAATTGAGTAATGTTGAATGTAATGCTTTCGTTTTCACTTGTTTTTGATTTAACGACTCCCATTCCGACTATAAATTCAGTTCGTTGCGTAGCTTGATAACTGATGACTTCTCCGATTGACCGAATTTTCAAAGACATGATGATTTTATAGAGAGACAATTTAAAAGAAATAAACTGGAAGAAAAGATTGCAGAAAAAGAATTTGGAGAGGTTTTTGTTGTGATAAGGATACTTTTGAGTTGTGAATTTTACAGATTGTGAATTTGATCGTTCAGGCGAGGTTTATATATTGTGTCAGAAAATATATAGTACTTTATCCGTTTAATTAAATTCGAGTGTTTTTTTTATTCATGTTGTTAATAATTTGTTCCTTTATTCTTTCTTATTGGTGTCTTTCGTAGACAATAGTTGGATAAGTGCGATTGATCAATGAACAATGGGGAAAGTAGACTTTCATTTCGAATTGCAGAATTGTGTGTCATGCGTTTATGATTTTCCCGAATAGCTAGTATATACGATGTAAACAATTTGATATTGTTGATATTTACAATATGGAACGTTGTGTATGGTTAGATATTTGAAGGCTAAGTTTTAGTGTTAAATGATTATGTGCTATATTGGTGAACTACGTGAGAGCATGCTTTTTCCGAGCGGTAATGGGGAACAAACAGTTGGTGCATATGATGAAGACGTTCCCTTTTTTGATTTACAAAGCAACAGCCGATAGCTTACAGATCAATGATCTGATTATTCTTTTGGGCGGGTAAAACCGTAGACTGTAGACCATTTAAGTATTAGTATAAATTGATCGTCAAATGATAGGCTGGTAAATATGCATTTTGTATGGCTAAATCAGCGATTGACTTTTTTTGGGTTTCGTTATACCAGTACAGAAATTGAGATCAGGTGATCGATCAATACATGAGACGATACTTTGCAATAGTATTACGCTCATTCGATAGAAAGTATATTCATGTATTAAAACATAGCTTCCTTATAATAGATGCTATTTTTATTTAAAGAGTCGCCCAAGTTATAGTTGTTATATGTTAAATTGTGTTGAGAAAATATGAATTTATTTAGCAATTAGCAGAAGTAAAATTACAGAAGTATATGGATAAAGTTAATATATGGATAAAGTTAAATATCAATTTAAAAGGAAATTGATCAGCTAACTGTTTCAATCTTTCGTATTCAGTGGCTACGTTTTTATCAACTAAAAATGCGCCTTCATCGAGAGCAGTAATGCGGACAGAATTCCATGAGGTTGCTCGGCTCAAAGCAACGTATGCTTGGCCTGGTGAAAAAAACTGCTTGTCAAGTACAAGACAAACGTCAGGCAGCGTTAAACCTTGGGCCTTGTGCACAGTCGTTGCAAAGCAATTTTGTAACGGAAATTGCTTGCGTGAACATAGTTTCCCATTAACATAGAATGTAGACACAATGCATCGGACTTTAAAGTCAATAATCCCATTCTGTATTGCAAAGGCTACGCGCGTAGTAAGATGCTCCTGATCAACATCCGTAACTACTCCTATGGTACCATTACAAATACCCTTATCGAAATGTTGATTGTTTAAGAACATTACACGAGCTCCTTGTTGAAGCCGAATCATCTTTGGAAGATTTGTCTTATTTTTAAACATGCAATGTGTTTCATCGAAAGGACATATTGAACCATTAACAGTGTCTATTGCATAGTTAACTAAAAATTTGGATGGTGGTGTGTTGAGAAGGTTGCATATTGATACGTTAATTTTCATTGCTGATTCGCGGTATCCAACAATATGTGTTGTCGTTAGAGCAGCACTACCATCCATAATAAATATGCTTTCGTTTAATTTGGTATTGAGCATCCTCCAAGATAATGATGAGATATTTCCGAAACGGACTTCTTCAAGTAGCCGATAGAACACAAGATCGTTTTCTTGTCGGCGTGAATGTGTTAGAAATAAGGGATAGAATAATTTCCATACAGGTGAATAATACACGGGCGTTCCATTTACTGGTGGAAGTTGTGCAAGATCGCCTACTAATACTACATTAACTCCACCAAATGCAGAAGCATTGCCATGTATCTTTGCAAATAAGTCTGAAATAAAGGAAAGTAATTGCGCAGATACCATGGATACTTCATCAATAATGAGTGTTCGTACCTCACTCAATGCTGACTTTAATGTTGAATCTGTAAGTGCACGTGTTACAAAAGTCCCACCTTGATGTACAATTCTTAAAGCGGAATGTATTGTTTTCCCGTCAATTCTCTGTGCCGCTACTCCTGTCGGTGCCATCAATAGAAACTTTGACCGACGTTCAGTCAGGAATTTAGTTAATAAATGAATGATATACGATTTGCCTGTACCAGCAGAACCAGTTACAAAAAAATATGGATATTGTCTATTTGATTGATTTCCGAGTTTGTTGGTTAATACATTCATAACTTTGTATTGATCTTCAGGCAGATTGATCATTAGTTGCGGAGGTGTTATAGGAAGCATAATTTTGAGATGATCAAGTTGAAGTCTGACAACATTAATGTTGAAATAAGTGATCTCATGTTCAAGCTTACTCAAAAGATTATCCAGTATTTGGTCGAATTGATGAGTTAGTTGAAAGCGGTAGTGTTGTAAATGTGCAATTGATTCAGTACGCATCTCCAATCTTTGTTCAGAAAATAATGATAAATAGTGATCTCTATATGATTCATACGGTCCACGCAATTCAGCCTCACTTCTCCAGCTCCTTTGACGGAGAAGTTGTTGATAAAAGTAAGATTCACTGTCACTTATACGCAAAGGGCGTAATCGTACAATTAATTCGTGTTTACGTTGTACTACCCGGTTGCCAAGTAGATCGTGATACGATGTTCGAGTCCTTGACCTAGATGTAGCCGCAGTGATGTCGAACTTGCGGTAATATTGTTCATATGTAAGATATTCGAAAACTGGAGTTCGTGGGCGAGCGAAATATTTTTCAATAGTATCCTTATAATAAGGATCTTCTTCATTTTGCAATATTAATGATACAGGCATGATTGCTCGACTACGCATAGTGGGTGGATCAGTAGTTAGAAAACGTACTGCAATAGAAGAATTGCATATAGGTTCACCGAGAATCATGAACATAATTTCCATTGAACTCATACGCCTTGCTGTAATGTGCTGATAAAAACGATCTCCTTCACGGATATTGAAAATATGCGATGGTTCGGTTTTGGCAATATATTTAGTCATATATCGTGCAAAGCCACGAGAACTTACGTACTGTATGTTCATATGAGCATCCCATGCCAATAATGTAGGGGGGTGATAAGGGACAACATATTGATCTTGCTCACGTATGCAACGATATATGAATCGCCTAGTTTCAGGATCTTCATAGGTAATTGGGGAAAATTTTCTAGGAAATCCTTTTCGGCATTGTTCTCCAGCCAATGGGGGGCCGCCGCATTTAGCAGGATTACATGTGTGAATTTGATGAGCCATAACCTTTGCATATAATTCTGGTTCTTCTTCCATATTGGGGAGGTCGCATCTTATGACATTATTGGCAATCATTTCTGATATTGTCATTGTATTCCATAGACAGCCATGCAAGTGGACTGCACCACGATTTTGAAATTCAAATCGCTCGAAAAAGTGTGTTATGTTGCCCCAATCAGCTAACTTCGGATTTTTCCATATATGTTTTTTCAACGTACGGAAACGATGTAAAAAATGAGACGTTACGTGATAGGGGCGGTTTGTGGGGATGGTATTATGATTGTCTGTATTACGAAGAATATTTTGTAAATTTTTCCCATCGAAATTCGGCCATGGTGAGTGTAATAAATAATGAGGGTAATCCGAGTTCATTAACCATAGCATTTAAATGCAACTCTCTTTCTTTAAAATACGTATCGCCTGTACGAATAAAAGATGGTAGTGTGGTTGTTTTTTCCTCATCAATCATTAATCGTCCATCATATGTACTTCTTCTCAATAGTTCCGGTCCCGTGGGAAGTGAAGTGGTGTTGTCAGCATTACGTTGTCGTAATAAGCGTTGGCGATTTTGGTGGTTACGAAGTTTTTCTAGTTGGAGATATGACCAAGCAGGCCAAGTATGATGCAAGCGAAAACGTGGATCTATGCCCATTATTCTTCGCTTAATATATTTCCCATATGTTTCGATATTTGTGTAATTGTTATTATCACGATAATGTCCTCTACCATCAGGAAATAAATCAGGAAAGAGTAATGGTTCCAAATTTGGATCGCTAATTGATATTGGAAGATTGTTGCCGTCGCCAGAACAAAGGAAACCTGCTGCTAAACGTGAATACATTGAGTCTTCGTTATGTACCTCCTGTGCAAAGTCAAAATTTGGGACGACCACATCATTTTGTTGAAACGATGTTACTGAGGTATCTTGCGAAACGGGAAACGCTGTAGGCCACACAGACATTTCTGATGTATCATTTATCTGTAATAAACGGTTGGCAAGAGAGGAATAGCTGCGGAGATATGGGTTATTTTGTTGAAGCCAACTCACAGCAGGCTGTAAAGAATGATGGTACCAATTGCTGTCATTAGATAAAGTGTCCAAATTTTCGAGAAACGCTCCAAGCATTCCTGAGTAAAGTGTCAGAGTTCTAAGATTTTTGGAAAGGCCCATTGTACCCACTATAGTACGATATTCCGTATATGCATTAGCATTCGTTGATCTACCTAGACTAGAATGCAAAAAAATGGGAGATAAATATTTTCTTTTTCCATAAGGTACATCATTAATTTCTTGGGGAATTTGGGCAAGACGCGGAAACTGTAGTCTCGTCGATCGTACTTTGCAACTGCGGCAAGCCGGAAGTTTATTCGCTGTACCAGGGTGTGCGATGTCGTCTATTGAAATAGACGGATATAATTGGAATAGTGCGTACGTTGACAGATCTTCCTGTACAACCCAGTCAGCTTTTTCTGGATATAGTA